AGATTGTCAAATCCGAACTCAACGAGGAATCTCTCAGCTCCATACCCTCACCACCCCCAAACGCCGCGCTCGTAAACCTGCCCGAAAAACCGTGGACCCTTCGACCGGAGAGACCTCGATCGAGCCGCCATCCGATTGGGAGGCCATGTACGACGTCGTGAGAAAGATGCGAGCGCCGGGAGGGCGTGCCTACGGCGCGGCCGTTGATACGATGGGGTGTGAGCGACTGGCTGACCAGAATTCTTCACCCAAAGATCAAAGGCTTCATTCACTGGTGGCATTGATGCTTTCAAGTCAAACAAAGGACACAGTTACGGCCGTAGTCATGAAGAAACTACAGACGGAGCTGCCAGCGTATAAACCTGGAGCCCCCATTGGTCTCAATCTAGACAATTTGCTTGCCGTTGAACCAAACATGTTGAACCAATTTATATGGGCGGTGGGATTTCACAACAACAAGACAAAGTATGTTTAACCAGGCGGAGCAGGGTCAGAGACGCTGACAATTATAGATATCTCAAGCAGACGGCCGAAATCCTTCGCGACACATGGAATGGCGATATTCCCGATTCGATCGAAGGGCTGACGTCTCTGCCCGGGGTAGGGCCTAAGATGGCGTATTTGTGTATGTCGGTCGCATGGAATCGTACAGAGGGTATCGGCGTCGACGTACATGTACACCGGATCACGAATCTCTGGGGCTGGAACAAGACCAAGAACCCAGAGGAGACGCGCCACGCTCTTCAATCCTGGCTGCCGAGGGATCGGTGGCGAGAGATTAATACGCTGTTGGTTGGCCTTGGCCAAGCCGTTTGTTTACCCGTTGGCAGGAAATGCGGCGAGTGCGAATTAGGGTTAGATGGACTCTGCAAGGCAGCCGATCGAAAGAAGGTTTTCGATGCGAAGAAGGTTAAGGCCGAAACGGTCGAGCTTAAGGTCGAGAAGTTCGAGGACGTTGAAGACGGTAACCCTAAGACGGCGGTTAAATCGGAGGTTACGCGGGAGGTGAGGGCGAAGCGGGAAGTTTGATCAACTATTGGCGGTTGGCGACCTAGATGCAACTGAAGATGGTGCTGACCACCTCATATCATGGGACTGCCAACAGCACCACCCGCCTCCGTGTCAATGAACGGCTGGGCGGCAGACACGTAGCGACCGCTGACTGATGGGTAGCGGTCGTGCCCTTTGAACGCATGAATACTTGTTGATACCCCCCCCTATTCATGTTGCGGTTTGCGTGCGTTGTATTCCGTGTGGGTTTTGCAGTGAGACGCTATTGTAGTCATGAGTTGACGGTCCACGTCTCACGAGATCATGGACCCCAAAGACGATATCGGAGATAAGAATGGGTCACCTGAGCGTCAAAGTCCCCAACTCACTCAAGAGGCCGAGGCATCGTGTCACCAAACCATTACGACTGAAGGAATTTAACAAATGATTCCAAATGTTCAAGACTTATCAATTCACAGCCCTTAAATACGGGGTGATTATAAACATATTCCAGTAACGCCGGCGCAAACATCCTCTTTGCCCCTGGTAAAGTACAAAGGCGGCAAAACGCCCCCTTGCTCCGGTAATTCCCAACACCCATATCTCGTCATTATGTTCGTGGGTCGTCAAATAGGACAGTCCCTAGGTAGCCGGAGCGACGGCCGATTCTAGCAGCCTCGTAGGTGATTCGTGGCTTCGCTATACGCCCCGGATGACCTGGGTTCGCTCAGCCTCGAGCTGGGCGGCGTTTCGCTCGTGAGATTGCTTCTTGCACTGAGGGATGGGTTAGCACTGTGTCCATGGCAAGGTAATTGGGGAAACAGGTTGGTGGGAATACGTACGTCCTCGAGACCGGTGCACTTGTGGTCTTCTAGTAGGCGGTGCTTGCCGCAGAAGTGGCCCTCGCAGAAACTGCAGTCTCCGACAATTCGCTGAGCCGGCTCGCGGCACGCAGCAGCGGTGCAACGGATTCGCTTGGCAGGCATGGTTGTTGAGGTTGAGGTGGAGAGATGTATGGGGTGACGATGGTAGAGACGGTGAGCGAGCCGTAGAGAGAGTGAGTGTGTAGAGTAGACGAGTGTTTGAGGTCGATTTGTTCGGTTTTTGACGCAAGTGACAGTGCTTAGAACCCCGTGGAAAGCAGATGACCCAATGTTCAGACGACAGAATTGACCAAGAATGCGTCAGCGGTCCCATGGGCGGACGGGGGAGCCATGGGCGCTTTATAAGGAGCTGGGGAGGCTGATGAATGAATCATGCTGAGTGGAGCCGCGGTCAGTTCGCCTCCAGACCCATTAGATCCAGCGACCAACATTTTGGTGTTCCGCTGTTCAAGGGTGCGCAGTACTCCGTGTCCAAAGAGGCTGCGGCACGATATTTACTGTACACTTCTTCTTCACACGGGACCAACTGGACAAGGTGCAGGCCGGCCCCAAGATTGGCCCAATTTCCCTTGTCTTGTTGTGTTGGGGAGTTGGTTCCCTCCCTCTTTGGGACAATTGAGGCCATCCACACGGAACATCCATTGCTGCTCTGCACGTCAACTTGTTCGTCGTGTTCTGTCTCTGATTCGTATGGGGCTTCGTCTTTGTCACACAAGGAACCCAAGGCCGCGGGTCTACGGACAGCCGCAGCAAAGTCGAAGCCCGTGGAAACGCAATGAGAACCTAGGTACCACCACGCCCCCCCCCCACTGCCCAGTGCCAGAGGCCGTCACAACTCCAGGCGTCTCCGGGGCTGGGCCACTTTTACCCGCCTAGACGCCTGACTGGAATGGCCTGTCCGGGGCCCTGGGGTTCCATGGGAGGCGAGGGCCAAGTGCGAGGCTCCGAAAGCGGTCGAGGCGGACGCCGGGCGGTTCTCGACACCTCTGCGTGTCGATCAGTTAGGCGGACAGCCCGAGAAACTTGCTTGGATACGAGCAAATGTGAGTGAGACGACGATTTTTGGCTGTAAGGATCCTGCTTGTGCATTGAAATTTTCCGACAGCGCGGCCGAGTGTGTATACAGTGTCGACTACGTCCATATCCGTAACGTCCTCACAGAAGACCCGACACTTATGTACTAGTTTTGGGGGTCCAGTGCCTCGCGCAGCCTCTTATCGCTGCAGGTGGTTCTGCGCCGATGACCCATGGGTGATGCCGTCTCGTAGTTACATACAAAGTACCGGCGACAACAGCTCTCGCGCGACTAGCGCTCCGTTGAAGTGTACCTTACGAATACAGCTGGACGGGTACTGGGCGATACGCCGTCCACGTACACCGTTCTCTGCCTGGCTCTTTGCCTGGACAAGCCCAGCGCCTTTTCTAGCCCAGGGATTCCCATGTCGTTCTTGTGACTGGGGCCCCCAACACCAACAACAAGCGAGCAAGTTCGCGGCACACGGGCCAGCCCAGTCTCGATGCCGCTGGCAGGGCTTCACATCCCAGCGCCAAAGGCCGGCGACCCAGGCGCCTACATTTCAACGACGGCTTGTCCGCTGTTCTCGTCAACACAACGAATGGAACGACAGGCTCTTTTCTGGTCTGGTCGGGTGGGCGAACGGACAGTCGGATACGGACAAGCAAGATGACGCGAGAAGTACCATCCCACACGTCAATAGCTAGGTAGCCGGACGGGCCATTGCGGAAGAAGCTCACAAGGTGTCGAGCGACTCGCGGGAGCGATAGCACCACGACTGACATGCCGGTTCTGGAAGCCCAACCACCCAAGGCAGGCTGTCATGATCACCAGCATCATGAGCAGTGGCCCGACCCAATGTCGCGTGGGGTGACATGAAATCTTATCCAGACGTCCATCGTGTTGTGAGTGATTTTTTTTATGCAGACCTCAAACGGTGACAATGTGATGGCTCATTTGTTTCGTCTCATGGCATTGTCATTGTTGTTGTCCTTGTTGGTTGCCATCCTTCGGGAGTCATCCGGGAATGTTCCGACCGCCTCCGACCGCGAACTCCGGCGTGGCCGGATCCGGGTCTCCGCCGATATCGAAAATCGAAAACAAACATTCCAGGCAAAACATCCGAACGGAGCGAGGCCTTCGCAGACTGTTCTTCGTGCGCATGGCTGTATTCGTAAATTCCAGTGCTCCTCCGTTGACGCCGGCACTTCACCCTGAAATCGTGGAGCCGGGATCCATGTAGCGCCTTGAACCATATGCTGGCAACTGAATCATTGACCAATGGCCAACTGAAACATGCTTGAGTGCGCTTGACGCCCAACTGTTCGGCGGTGAACCTTTGGCAGAGTGACCGTGTCTCACCGAAACGCGCCAAGTGCTCAATGGCGGTGTATTCGGACTTGTTACTCTTAGGAAGTTCGTTCATCTTTTGGCGCCCAACACCGCTACGAACGAGTTGGACCTGCCCGATTCAACCTGTAAACAACTGTGCAACACATTCGCCATCCTCGACACCCGCAACATAGGAAACGCCAAAAACATCACCGTCGCATCCTCGATAATTAGGTTAGGATAGCCTTCAGCGATAGACCAACGACAGCCTAATTCAAAGAGGCAATTGACCTCCCCCCCTCCCCCCCCCCAAAAAAAAGGGGTTGACTATTGTCCCAGTTGCAATGTCATAGTAAACTTGCTAGCCAGTGAATGCTTCTTGTTTAGGTAGTTTCAACAAGCTTCCTTCGATTGCTCGAGCCGACTCAAAGTCCTTAGTCCAGACGAGTTCTCAATGTTACAGGGAGTTTGTTAAATAACCTCCTACTTACTAACATTGCCCATAAAGCTATTCTGATCAACATGCGAAAAGCAGATAAAATATATCCACCTTCAATCAAAAGCCGGCCAAGCTATGATGTTAGCTGGCCTCGAACGATCAAGAGGTCAGTACGCAAGACCGAGTGAGAACGACTGAAGAGCAGGCAACACACAATCAAGGGGAGCACGCAACGTTCCGGGGCCCCAAAAAAAAAGAACTATGTTCTGCATAGCATCACCATGGACTCAATGGCTCAACGAAACACGATGAAAAAAAGATTCAATCAAAAATGAAGGATTGCCGTTGATCAGACTCGAACTGACGTTTCTTCGGCCACAACGAAGTGTACTAACCCCTATACGACAACGGCTAATGTCCTAGGATAGTATGAGGATTTGCTTATTAGAGTATATTGAGATACGAAACCCCGAGCTTTATTGATACTGTCAAATGTGCATAACGAAGCGTCTCGGACCTCTAGAAGATGGTGATGTGTACGTCGCTTGCTGCGATATGACCAGGTACCAGTTGGAGGAAGTTGAACATCTTTTTTAGGGTTTCTCTTTCACGCCGTCATTTGTTGGACAATTGGGGAAAATGTTACTAGACAAATTTCGCGGAATGGGATTGCGACATGCTTGACAAGGCCGAGGCGATTGATTTGTGCGCACATTATTATGACAGCATTGTGATTCAAGATCGCGATACAACATTGTGTGGCTCGCCAGTGGCGTTGCAGTGAGACCTGGGCATTTCGCCAATCGGTACTGGTTCTGTTTGGTCAAGATACTGGCTGCGTGAGACTTTCCATTGCAGCGTTGGCGTGGCGTTGGCATAGTGTAACGGCGCTGGAATAATAGCCTTTGACCCAAGCAGGAGAGAACCTACAAACAGCCAAAAGTACATGCGCATAGTTGGCCGTTTTATTATTGATTCCCATGTTTAAGATAGAGATAGAGTCTTCCTTTCGACTGTACTTCGTACATGTAGCTATTGCTAATCACTCTGCTCATATTATTTGTTCAATTACCGCTTTGGGAACGTGGGGTGCGCGGTGGTGCTCCTCCGATGACATCAACCCAACTCGCGCCTTCTTATCGGCCAAAGATGCCTTCTCGCGGCATTTGTAATGTGTGGCCCACTGCATGCATCGGCAACTTCAAAATTGCCGAAGTTCAAAAGTTGCCGAATGTGAGCGACATCACTTGTTGCCTCGAGTTGCCGAGTGTTTTCGCTCACTTCTCCTCACCATCATCTTCACTTCACAATGACTGCTTCCACCTTGAAACGCGGCATCCGCATCGCCATCGATCGTGGCGGTACCTTTACCGACTGCGTGGGAGAGCACAATGGCGAGGAAATCATCATCAAGCTGCTCTCAGAGGACCCGGCCAACTACAACGATGCCCCGCTCGAAGGCATTCGTCGCATCATGAGCCATTTCCTCGCCCGAGACGTTCCCCGGGGAGAGGCTCTTGATACCTCCAAGATCGACTCCATCCGCATGGGAACCACCGTCGCCACCAATGCTTTGCTTGAACGAAAGGGCGAGAAGATTGCCATGGTGGTCACCAAGGGCTTCAAGGATTGCTTGACTATCGGAAACCAGTCACGGCCCAAGATCTTTGACCTTGCCATTAGAAAGCCAGATGTCTTGTACGAACAAGTAGTTGAAGTTGATGAGCGTGTGACACTCGAGGACTACGCTGAAGACCCGGAGCGAACCATGACTGAAGCCCAAGCTCAAGTTGGTACAAAGGAAGCAGAGGGAAAAGATCTTGTCCGGGGCACGTCTGGAGAGACTGTTCGAATCTTGAAAAGAGCCCAAGAAGACGAGATCCGCAGCAAGTTGAAAGACGTCTACAAGAGTGGAATTCGAAGTATTGCCGTTTGTCTCATGCACGGATATACCTTTCCAGGCCACGAAGCATTGATTGGGAAGATTGCAAAAGAGGTTGGATTTGAACACATCTCCTTGAGCCACGAATTGATGCCCATGATCAAGCTTGTGTCAAGAGCAACATCGGTTTGCGCCGATGCATATCTCACGCCCGCCATTCGCAAGTACATTGATGGCTTCCAAGCCGGATTTAAAGGCGGACTAGGAACTGAGAGCGTCAAACACGAAGAAGGCGCAAGAGGAGCCAGGTGCGAGTTCATGCAGAGTGATGGTGGACTTGTCGACGTGGACAAGTTTACTGGATTAAAGGCTATTCTGTCTGGTCCTGCTGGAGGTGTTGTCGGGTATGCCATGACTTCTTACGACGAGGAGACGAAGACACCAGTCATTGGATTTGACATGGTAAGAACTACGAACCCATCTCTCTTTCTAATGCTAACAAAATCAGGGCGGTACGAGTACAGATGTCTCAAGATATGGCGATGGAAGATACGAACACGTCTTTGAGACGACCACAGCAGGAGTCACCATTCAATCTCCGCAACTTGACATAAACACCGTCGCCGCGGGCGGAGGCTCCCGCCTGTTCTTCAAGAATGGACTGTTTGTTGTTGGGCCTGAATCCGCTGGCGCACATCCAGGACCTGCTTGTTACCGCAAAGGGGGACCAGCTACGGTCACAGATGCGAACCTCTTTCTCGGTCGTCTATTGCCTGAATTCTTTCCCAAAATCTTTGGCAAAAACGAGGATGAAGGCCTAGATGTTGAGGCGAGCAGAAAGGTGTTGCAGGAACTGGCAGACAAAGTCAACCAAGAGACAGGCAAGAGTTTGTCGGCAGACGAGGTTGCGTATGGTTTCTTGACTGTTGCAAATGAAACGATGACAAGACCGATCCGATCCATTACAGAAGCCAAGGGGCACGACTCCTCAAAGCACCGTCTCGCCACATTTGGAGGCGCTGGTGGACAGCATGCCGTGGCTATTGCAGAATCTTTGGGCATCCAGCAGATCCTTGTTCATCGATACTCCTCTGTCCTCTCTGCATATGGAATGGCTCTTGCCGATGTGGTTGACGAACGACAAGAGCCAGAGTCCAAAGTCTGGGAAGACAACGCTATTGGGGAGTTGAAGGAAAAGATGGAAAAGCTCAAGCAAAAGTCGCGCGCCTCTCTAAAGGAGCAGGGGTTCCAGGATGACGAAATTGCCTTTGAAGAATACCTCAACATGAGATACCGCGGCACTGAGTCGGCTCTCATGATCATCAAACCCAGCGAAGAAGGGAGCAAGGACAATTGGGACTTTGGAGACGCCTTCATCAAGCAGCACCGATACGAGTTTGGCTTTACCCTGGACGACAGAGACATCATCATCGATGATGTTCGCATCCGTGGTATTGGAAAGAGTTTCCGGCATAGTGAAGAGACTGTGGACCAGCAACTCAAGGCTGTGAAGCGTCAGGACGTCTTGGAGAAGAACAGACACGGCGCTCAGCAAGTGTACTTTGAGGGTGGAAGAAACGACACTCCCATTTACAAGCTTGAGAATCTCCAGGTTGGAGACTCGATCCGGGGGCCAGCCATGCTCGCCGACGGAACCCAGACAATCGTCGTGACGCCAAAGGCTGAGGCGCTCATCTTGAAGACACATGTCGTTATTAATCTCGACAAGGAGCATGCAAAGGAGGAGTAAGTCCCATCCCCAGTTACTCAGACATTTCTAACTCGGTGATAGAACATTGCACACAAAGGACCGCGAAGTAGACCCCATCATGCTGAGCATCTTTGGACATCGTTTCATGGCCATTGCAGAGCAAATGGGTCGCGCCTTGCAAAAGACCAGCGTCAGCACCAACGTCAAGGAGCGTCTCGACTTTTCCTGTGCCATCTTTGACGCCACTGGTGGACTTGTTGCCAACGCTCCTCATCTCCCTGTGCATTTGGGCTCAATGTCGACCTGTGTGCGAAGACAGGCCGAGATATGGAAGGGAAGGTTGGAGAAGGGAGACGTCATCATCTCCAACCACCCTTCGTACGGCGGCACTCATCTGCCAGATGTAACGTTATTGATGCCGGCCTTCGATGAAAAGGGCGAGAATATCTTGTTCTACGCTGCATCACGAGCGCACCACGCTGACATCGGCGGCATCAGCGCTGGCAGCATGCCTCCTCATTCTAGAGAGCTCTATCAAGAGGGTGCATCCATTGCTAGCGAGAAACTTGTCAGCCAGGGCAAGTTCAACGAGAAGCGAGTTGTCGAGTTGTTCTACGACGAACCAGCTCAGTATCCTGGGTGCAGTGGTACTCGCACTCTCGCCGACAACATCAACGACCTGAGAGCTCAAGTCTCGGCCAACCAGAAAGGTATCTCATTGATCGAAACGCTCATCGAAGAGTATGGCCAGGAGACGGTGCAGTTCTATATGGTCCACATCCAAAAGAATGCCGAAACTTGTGTTCGACAGCTCCTCAAGCAAGTCTACAAACGCTTCGAGGGCAAAGAGCTGTCAGCTGTTGATCACATGGATGACGGCTCTCCGATTCAACTCAAGATCACGATTGACCCTGAAAACGGGGAAGCCGAGTTCGACTTTGAGGGAACGGGCCCCGAGGTCTACGGCAACATCAATGCGCCGCAGGCGATCACATACAGCGCCATCATCTATTGTCTGCGCTGTCTAATTTCCGAAGACATTCCCCTCAACCAGGGGTGCTTGAAGCCAATTCACGTCAAGATCCCACCCAAGTCCATCCTCTCTCCCTCGCCCGGCGCCGCAGTGGTTGGAGGAAACGTTCTCACCAGTCAGCGAATCACAGACGTCATCTTCAAAGCGTTCCAGGCATGCGCCGCCAGCCAAGGTGACTGCAACAACTTGACATTCGGCTTCGGAGGAAACCAGAGCGGCAAGCAGGCTGTCAAGGGCTTCGGGTACTATGAGACGATTGCTGGCGGGAGTGGTGCAGGGCCCGACTGGGAGGGTACCAGCGGCGTCCATGTGCACATGACAAACACTCGAATCACTGACTCGGAAATTTTTGAGAGACGGTACCCCGTCATCCTCCGCGAGTTCTCCATCCGTCCCAACTCTGGGGGTCAGGGTCAGCACCGCGGTGGAGACGGCGTCATCCGTGATATCGAGTTCCGCATCCCCCTCCAAGTCTCCATCCTCAGCGAGAGACGCGTGTACCACCCATACGGTCTCAACGGAGGCGAAGACGGAGAGTGCGGTCTCAACCTCTGGGTGCGCAAGGTTGAAAAGACAAACTGGGAGGCGTCGTTGAAGCGGTTCCACAACAAGGATGATGCAGGAGAGACTGAGACTGAGTACGAGGAACGTCACATCAACTTGGGAGCCAAGAATAGCGCGGCGATGAAGGCAGGTGACAGGATCATTGTGTGTACTCCGGGGGGTGGCGGATGGGGTCTCAAAGGAACCAAGGGCGTGGCCAAGCAACGAGTTGACCCGACTGAA